ATTTGCTTGTCTGAAAGTGTATTTCCGCATTGGACCTGAAAAGTTCTTCTTTTGAGGTTGGCGTTGAATTATATTATTAACTATCTCAGAATTTAAATGTATTTAACTTGATGTAGTGTGCTGCCATCTGTCGGTTAGGAAAGGAAATTCTCTTTTTCTGTTTAGAATTTCTCCCACTTTCGTTCGGTATTCACTTTGCTTATTCCAGCGTCGCCTCGTAGGCGTTTACTACCTCACCATATGATTGCACTTGACCAATGGCAGTCCATTTTGGGTGTTAAGTGCATTAGGCACCGCCCCAGATGGCGAAAATTAAAAAAGTCGCAGGAAAATCTTCGTGCAAGTGATTAGTAAATTAATCAGAAGTTTGTTTCTTAAGCGTCTCGAAGAAAGCTACTGCTTCAAGTTCTATCTGAATTTTATCAAGAATTGTTTTAGTCGTTTTTGCCTTGCGCGCCAGATCAGTAATTTTTTTTAAATCATTTTGTAGTATCAGATTTCAAGACTCCCAAGTATTTCTTTCAAATCCTCATTGCTAATCTTTTCGTTTGCCTGTAAGGCTTTTCTTAGGAACTTTTGTATGATTCGCTTTCGACAAGGTTGAAGAAAATTTATCATTTTGAAGCCAGATTCCTTTAGTATGCTGGAATTTCTCCTTCGGGCAGTTAGGACAACCGTTGCGCGATGATGGGTAATCTCCACTGCACAGGATGCTCTTGGTTTTTGCCGTCTTATCCATGTCACAATTATACGTGAAATATTCTTTAAGGCATTTAACACATCGTGATTTGTTGAAGCAGCTAGATTGTGTCTGACCATACATCTCCTAGTGATAACTCTGCCGAGGTCCAGTTGCGTGGCTTGAAATTTTCTACGTGGATCTTTATTCCAAATAATTTGATGTGGCATACATTTCTTTACTTTCCGTGGGGACAACCATGTGAGGTGAGATTTTGATGTAGGGCAATCATGTGAGATGGTAGTCTAAAATGACACCTAAATATTGGACTTGCTTGGCGCGAGGGATAGACTTCCCATACATAGTAATGCCAGTATTCGTTTTCTTTAATAATACATTAATTACATATGTTTTCTTTAATACATTAATTCGTTTCAGTAATACATTAATTTCCAGTAATCGTTTTCTTTGTAAATGTTTCAGACTTGTCAGCATTAATTTCAATTTTCCAGAATTGAAGCCCCTGCTCTAGAGTATGTAGGTGATTTTGAAGTGACTGTTTGACTAGACCATCTTATGCATTTTGAGTAAGAGTTGCTGTGTCGTCAGCATACATACCTAGGGCTGTATTATGCATGTGGGGAATGCCGTTCAAGTAAATATTTAATAAAAATAGGCACGGTTTTTCGTGGCCTTCGGCCACCTTTACCCTGATATACACCTCCGAGAATGCGCAGATGCTGGCCTTACTTCAACCTGTACATATAAAACTCTTTTCATGAATTTGCACAGCTGTTTTTGATGTGCAGTATATGCAGCTAGCACTGGCATTATATTTACTATAGTCCTAAAGCTAAGCAAGTCTTCGAGAAGTCTAAGAACAGTTTTTCATTCTTCAAGGCTAAGTTTGTGATCCAAAACTTGAGGACAAGTGCAACCAGATGCATTGGTGAAATTGGAAAATGACAGACAAATTGAGTTTTAACAATAGGACAATTAAGTTCAGCAAAAAGCTCTGTCAAAAAGAAAAAAAAGGAAAATAAAGAGGAACCCAGCTGAGGAAGTCTAACACCATAATCGTAATAAGTGCCATAAAATGTGTAAGAATGACTACCGATTTTCTCTTTTGTAAAATTATCATTCTTCAGTGTAATAAAAGAAACATTATTTAAAGTGGATCTCTGAAGCAACTCAGAACATGATTAGAACAAATCCTCTTTTTGAAGTGCTGTTTACTTTCACACTAAATTTCTGTAAAGAAATGCACTGATTCAGTTTTGCTTCAGAGAATACGGATTATTAGGCAATAGTTATTATTTCCAAACTTTTTCCTATATGTTCCTTAAGTTAACATCTAATTACTCTGCCTATATTCTAAGAAATTCGAAGTACTAAATATTAGCAATATTTCAGTATCCTTCGAATCTGTATTATTGCACATCGAATTTCTAAGTATCTTATTACAGGGTGTCCATAATTAAACTTGAAATTTGTGAGAAGTCTGTAGCAAAAACTATGCAGCAGAATTGCATGAAAATAGGAGCATAGCAGAAAGAAATGATGGGAATTTTATCGAAGGCAAAAAACAATGAGTTTCAAAAACCACCACTAGATGACGTTGTGCAATATGCAAATGTCGTTACCATAGTAATCCTGTGGGCGCATAGCAACCTTATACAGATGCGAGAGGCGAACCACAGTCATACTCGTTTTCAAGTCAAGGAAGGTGACGTTGACTCTCCAGGAACGTGCTTTACTTATGAAATTTTTTTACAAAAACAGAGACTCTGCTACTGAAACTTTGCGAAAATCTTGGCCTTTGAAGCGGTTACGAAAAGGTCCTGTCATTAGTCTAGGACTAACAAACATGCTTAGGAAATCTGAAGCAACGGGAAGATTGAGGACTCAGCCAGGAAGGGGACGAAAGTGAGTTGCAGTACAGGTAGTGAATGATGTAGCAACGCAAGGGTAAGAAGAGTCGACAAACTTTTGCGTTGCGGTTTGTTGCGCGAGTTGAGTTCCAGGATGAATGGCCATGTAACATTTTGTGGACCGACGAAGCCAACTTTCACCCAGAAGGTGTGGTTAACACGCACAATTGCCGTATTTGAGCTGCTACAAACTCGCATCATTTCCTACAAATTCCATTACACTCTTTGCATGTAACGGTATCGTGCGGCTCTACTGCAACCTTCATTGTGTGTCCGTTTGTTTTTTTTTTCTGAAGAGCAAACATGCACCTTCACCCGTCAACGACACGCTTCATTATTAGAGCAATCCGTTATTCCAACTCTTCAGGCAAGGCGATGTGATACAACCACAGTGTTTATGCAGGATGATTCTCCTCCGCACAGCGCCCGTTGTGTGAAAAAAAGTGCTTCGCTGCCATTTCGTTTGACGACAGAATCCTCAGCCGGCAATTTCCTACAGCTTGGCCTCCTAGAGCCCCCGACTTGAATCCTTGCGACTTTTAACTGTGGGGATACCTCAAGTTCATGGTCTACTGTTATCCCATCACATCTCTATCCGACCTTAAAGAAAGCATAGAACGCCATATGCGTAACATTCCCCAGTTCATGCTGCTTTCAACAGTCGAACATGATATTTCACGCTTCCAGATGTAGCAGCACATCATATCGAGCATGTTTTGTAAACTTTTGTAGATTATTGATATGTTGTCAATAAAGCTATGATACGCCACATAGGGGTGATTTTTGAAACTCATTGTTTTCCCCCCTCGATAAAATTCCCATCATTTCATTCTGCCATTACCCAATTTTCATGCAATTGCGCTGTATAGTTTTTACTACAGACTGCTCGCAAATTTCAAGTTTAATTGACATCCTGTACTTTGTTTCATTTGTGCTGTGATATTTAATGCTTCATTTAATATAGTATCCAAACAGCATTTTAATACAGCTTGAGCTGAGTAAAGGTGTATATTTGGAAATTGTAAGGTCAATTGCAGGTGTCTGCGATTGAAATAAATGATATCTGTGATTTCAAATCAACTTTTAATTTAGGTAATTATTTCTGATTACTTTGTTTCCAGTGAAGATACCAAATACTGTAGCAAATGCATCTGTCATTCTAAAAAATACTAAGAACTATAGTAATTATATGATAAATAACGCATTCCATTTCCCACCAACTCTGTACATGTGAAAATTATATTAAATTTGTAACAATAAAAAAAATCGTATTTCATAAATTGTATTTTTTCTCCATGAAATAATTTTAAGCATTTTGTGTATATTCATTTGAAGTAAGGGATTTTTTATTTCTTTTATTTTCTAGTTTTATTATCTTCAGCTATTTATTCTCCCCTCCTCTATCACTGACATATAATTAACAGCAGACATATATTACATATTTATATTTCTTTCTTGATAAAAATTTACATTTTTCTTAACACTGGAACTCTCTGTCACTTCATCATAGCCTCTTATCTTCTAACAGGAATTTAAGAACAAGAGGGATATACCTAAATTTTTAAACAGATTTAAAAAAAAAGTTTAAATAGAATTTTTCCATACATACATATTATCTTAAATATCTTTTTAAGAGCACATGAACAATCATATAGTAAATAACAACAATGATAATCTATATAAAATTAAATAATTAAAATCCATATTAGCACTAAAACTTTCTTTTGAAAACATTATTCAAACCATTTCTTCTAAGATTTACATTACTTGTTGTGTCAGTTAGAATCACCTCGAAGCTTAATCTGTTGCCGAAGAAAACGTTGATTAAATGATTGCAAATACATTTGTGAGTTAGTAGGGTAGTCAAATATTTTTTCAGTGTAGAAATTGAAGGGGAGTGGATTGCTAAATTTTTGACGTAAATAATAATGTAGCACTTCTGTAACTTAATCTTTCAGGCAACATGTTTTCAATCAGTATGAAAGCAAATTGCCGTGCTATATGTGTCTTACTATATCTTGCATCCAGAAGCAAGTAAACAATGCTTACGTAATGCAGATATAAATCTGCAAGATCTGTAAGTTAGGTTTTAGCATATTTGAAATAACTGCTGAATATAATGTGAAAGAAATAAAAACTTTGCAGCATGAGTTGGTGTAAAATAAATAAAAATTTGCCAACTTACATTGCTAATTTTTTTTTTTTTTTTTTTAGTATTAAATTCGTTTGAGGGTTTTTAGCTGCATATAATGCTGTTTTAACTTTTAAATTTTAGCATAGCATGAATTGTTCTGGGTTCTAACCTTGCTTTTTATTGACCATCTAATTTCTCATTTGTTCATATCATATTAATCAATATAGGTATTAGAAATAAAATATTCTTCTTTTAGGTCAGTTGTTCATGAGCATGCCGTTGGATTGGTAGTTATTCTGTACTTTTTGTTAGCTGTGTTAATACATGGGCGACAAGTTGAATGGACTGCAAGATTAGATTTTCTTTGGAATCTTCAGGTTTTAACTACTTTCTTCATCATTTCTTTTTAAAATGTTTGATATTATATACATATATATATATATTTCATTTTTACTTTAAAGGCAAATGAAGAAAAACTGGAAATGCATGAATTGCAGAGTAGTAACAGAAGAATTCTGTTTAACTTGCTTCCTGCTCATGTAGCTGCACACTTCTTAGACAATCAATTCAAAAATAATATGGTGAGTTGTTTGTTTAACAGAAATGTGAATTAATTAAAAACTGCTATTTACATTCATTATTCAATTTTTTAGGAACTTTACAATCAGAGCTACTCAAAAGTTGGAGTTGTCTTTGCATCAATTCCTAATTTTCATGAATTTTACATGGAACTCGATGGAAATAATCAAGGAATGGAGTGCCTACGTCTGTTGAATGAAATAATTGCAGATTTTGATGAGGTTAATGATTAGTTTCTGTCTGTTTCACAAAATATTTATATTATTTTTAAAATATACAAATATTTACTTTGATAAACATTTCCAATATATTTTTTAATATTTATATCTATATGTAATTTTTAGTTGCTTGATGATGAGCGCTTCAAGGCTATTGATAAGATAAAAACAGTTGGAAGTACTTACATGGCTGCCATTGGCTTAATGCCTGAGTACAGAATAGCTGTACGTATGTTTTTAGTACATGTTTGATTTTTAACAAACTTTGAATAATCCTTTTTTGTAATATTTTTACGCATAGAGTTTTATTTTAGTTTTCATTTGTGCTATTCAATTTCATATAATCATATGAATTTTTTTACCATTAGGATGATAATCCAGCATCAGCTGTTGAATACATGAGCATCTTAGCTGAAATGGTGTTTGCTTTTAAGGACAAATTAGCAGATATCAATGAAAATTCCTACAATAATTTTTTCCTAAGAGTTGGTAAGATTTTTTTGCATTACCATCATGGGTTTTGGGGTTCTTTAGTGGTAACAAATTTATAATATTCGTTTTCAAAATCTTGAATTTGTATAGACCATACGGAGAAGAGGAAGTTTCTGTTGTCACGTGTAACTACTGCAAAGGAAAATTACAAAGTATTAATAAATGCAGTGATATGTTTTGTTGATGCAAAAGTTCCTGCTGTTTTTTGAAGTGAAAAGAACGAATAAAAGAAAATATTGAATACATATGTATTCATGTAAATGCCATCATCTGATAGTATGCCTTTTGTATTCTACATTGCTGTAGATCAATCTTTCATCGATAAAAATACATGAGTTTTTAATTTTTAAGAAAAATCTTGTAATGCTGTTTTCATATCTGGCACATCATCCAAGGTTTGAAGGGTGAAGAAACTTACCAACGACTGACAAACATGGTAATCCAATTTACAACCAAAGTCCAGTAGTTTTTTTCCCGAGTGACTGAAGTATCACAATATCTGGCATTATCATGTTGTATCACAACACGTTGCGACTGCCAAGCGCTGGCTTCTGACATACCAGTTTTTGCTTCAGTTTGTCCACTGCTGACATGCATATTAGCATTAATGGTTATATGGAAGAAAATTCTTGTCCCACATATCAGTGGCGGCTCGTTTGTTATTTAAAGGGAGGTTTACAAAACAAATTCGGAAAATTAAATATGCAAATACAACCTAACTTATAAGTTAAAATACATTTGCGTTTCCACAAGTTAAAGGGGAAAAGTTCCCAAAAATAATTAAAAAAAAAAATTGTAGTATTTTATTTCTTACAATGGAATGTAATACAACCATAACATTGCTCACAATATATCTTTGAGCGTTGATTACAAAATCGTCAAGTACAGTTTTTGTAAATTAAACTCATTTATCTATCTTTTTATGTCGCAAAAAAATTAATATCGTTTTCATTGAATTTAGGTGTGTTAGTTTTCATGTTTTTTTTCAACTGAGAGCATAACTAGAGCGCTTAGTCTGTTCTTGCTTATAGTGCTTCTCAAAACTTTTCTTAACACATTTTAGAGTTGAAAAGCATCTCTCAGTTTCAGCACTGGTCAATGGAATAGTAACAATACTTAGCAACATTTGTAGGTCTTTGAAAACGTACTCTATAAGTTGTTTTCTGTAATAAATTGTAGAAGGCTACTGCAGCAGTCATATTTCTGAAATCTGATCTTCTGCAAATTACTACTAGTTCAGCTTTAAGATGATCCTTATGTAATATGGAATAAACATCAGTTTTGGGGTCCAGAATATGAGCTGGAAGCTTTTTCTTGCACTCCTAGGATTCTGGAGCTTCAAGGAGAGAAACAGCAGAGAAATGAGGAATTAAACAAAATCTTTCTTTCATTTGATTCGTGATAAGATCACATGTACCTTTAGCTGCTATAGTTCTATTTATGTAAGTATTTCCTCTTTCTTCCTTTTTCCTGAAATTTCATATGATTTCGATATCTCATCTGTCACTGTGTACATTCTTTTACTTTTTTTCTCTAATGACTGCTGGAAAACGTATACTTGCTTTCTATTGTATTTAATTGTATAATACATCGACATGTAGCATAACACTGTGAAAACCTTTAAGCGGAAACACAAATTCTGAATCTTCTAACGCACGGCGAATAGACCTTGCTTCATTTATTCCTACAGCTTGTTTGGATGTTGACTATATTTTTTTCACGCATTCAATCAACTGTTTTCTATATTCATGCACTGTAATAATAGTTCCACTCATTTCCATCTAATAGCTGAACAATGAATATCCTTTTCCTAATAACTTCATCTAGAATAGCAATTCTTTCTGTAGACAGTTAATGAAAAAATTAGTAATATCATTCAGATTGGGAAAAAATGCTCGAAGTGCTTTCTTGCAGGTATGTTGAATAAAAACTTGAATGACCACTCATCACGCTTGCACTTTCGTAATTCTGCGATATTAATTTATCGGGTTTGTTTGCTACTTTTTCCAAATTTTCTTGAATGCATTCAGCTATAGATTTTGCGTTATGCACAAGGGGATTCATGAATTCCCAGAATCTCTCAACCACTGGTCCATTACTTGAAACGTATCGAAAAACAACAACCAGTTGGGAAGTGGATGGATGACACATCAGTAGTTTCGTATGCTGTTTTTGAAACAAAACTTGCTTTAGAGATCTAATTTTTTATGTGGTTCCTACAAACAGTAAGCATACAGTCTAATAAATCATTTCGAATATCTTTTGATCTTCATTAAAAAAAGTGGTCTTTATGAGACGGATCAAGTTCTACTGAGAAGTGGATAAGACCTCTGAAAACTCTCGGATTTAATGAATCCTCGCATTCGTCATGTCCTCAAAGTGCAAGCTAAAATACAGAGCAAAACAGAATGCAATCAATAATTTTTGTTAGAACATAACGGTTTTTGGCAACCTTCGAATTGTGTCTTCACATTTGAACGAAATGCACTGTTGAGTTGTTGGCGACTATCCCTCTTTCCTAACAAATTAAATTCTAAGATTGACATTAAATGTGATTGTGGGTATTCATGCTTTTTTATTTTCTGAGCTAAATGCCATAAATCAGCAATACCGTAACTCACCCAACTTGAATCACCATTCTATTTTGTAAACAGGAGACATGGAAACAAAACAACCTGTTACATTCTCACCCACTTATGTAAATTTCTCATAAGAATCAGGTTTGAATTCCATTTTCAAACCTAGTCTTACCTTTCTTACCCTGCGTAAAATTTGGCAAAGGTGCTTCCCTAAGTAATTCCATTTCATTCTTTCTTTCAAAAGACAATGTTGAAAACAGTAATTTCTTTAGTTCCAAAACACGATTTTACGAAGTGGCATCTTAGCTGTTTACATGAGTGACTAGTTCGAAAAAAACAAAAAAAAAAAAAAAAAAAAATTATCGAAAAAGGGTAACAATAAAAATATAAAACGAAAATGAGAAAACGAATTAAATAACCGAATATAGCTAACCACAGAAGAATTCGTGGGATATAACTGCAAACAGTACGAGCTTCCGTGCACTGATGGTGTGCGAATGGAATGATATCAGCGGTATCTTTTCCTTCCCGCTCATCTGCTCACTTCTATCCCCCATAAAATTGTTTTCAAAGGCATTTCATCGGTCGCATGTGCGATCGATGAAAACCAAGTGCTCTGGTCTATAGTTACCTAAAATACGTTTTATTGGCTGAAAATTTCAATCACCATGGCTTTATGAACAATGTCAAATCTACTCGTAATTTAAATCTCCCAAAATAGGGTGAACTTTTGCATCAACTTTTTTTTTTTTTTTTTTAATATGTTATAAGTACTGAATAATTGTATATAAATCAGTTTTGGCAAGGAGAGAATGAGATCAAATCATCGGTTTATTGGCGAAAAAAGATTGTTAAAATAGTTAAGTTATCGAATTACAAAAAATGTTTTCTTATCAGAATTGCTACGTATAACAGGAATCATACTAGCACAATCAAAACAATTAGGTTATGACATGATGAAATAAGATCTCAAATGACAGATTTGTATGTTAATTAAAATTCAAAATATACCGTGCAAAATGCAAAACAGTGCATGATTAACAAATTGGGAACAATAGAATATGTGATAAAAGTTCTGTCGATGCTGGAAGAATTATAGATGATAATTGTAATATATATATTTCGTTTTCATCATTGTAGGTTTCGGCAGCAAAAATAGTGTTTAAAACAATGTATGAAATTCTTGATAACGAATTGCAATGGCCGATGATAAGACGTCAAAGTAAAGCAACGGCAATCGTAGGTATCTTGACGTCAGCTTTTCCAACATAATTCATCTATAAAAAGATCACCAAAATGTATTGATAGGATACCCCTAATACAAAAATAATCATAAGTTGTACCCAGTATAATGTAATATAATATATTATAGAGGCTTTAAAGTGCATGCTCAAGAAGATGAGCAGTTTTTTAATGTTCAGAGTTACCTTTCCTCCAAAGGCAGAGCGCTTTGCTTCCAATGTCATGGAGCGCATGCGCTTTAAAGCTGTTACATTTGAAGATCTGGGATTTTGACATGTGCATTGACAGGAATTTTTAGTTTGTGCAGCTTTAGTGATAAAGAAAATATTGTTATAAAATCATACAATAAAATTCCTAATAAACTTTCAACCTATATTTAACGAAATTTGTATTAAAATTAAAAAAAAGTGTGCAATAGGACAGAAATGAATTTTCGTTATTATTATTATTATTTATTTACTTATTTTTCCAAATGTGGCTAAAATTCTTTTTTTTTTTCCCAGTTTTTTTCTGTTAATTTTGGGAATGCAAAGATTCTTCGCTGTCATACGAGCTATACGTCTAATACGTCATACGAGCTAAATATACATAAAGTATATTTACATCAATACGAGCTCGTAATTGGCTCTTCGTCGATTAGAGTTCTTTTTTCGTCATTTTATTTTTCAATTCTTGAATCAGTTTTGCATTTTCTTGTCTTTCAACAAGTTTTTCCGATTTTTTGGCAAGCATATCAATCCCTGTTTTTAAAGTATCACAGGACTATAAGTGTCCTTTCTTGGGTAACAGAATATGACGTTGAACTAAAAATATATCTGAAGATATCATATCACACTTGGATTGTTCGTTCTGTACATGTCGTGTAATTTCATGATTTTTGACGTTTTCGACAGGTATATTTTCTTATTCTTTTTTAACCCTTTGACGCGCGCGATATTATTTTTATAATTTTTTTAACTAAAACTCTAGAAATTGAATATTATGATCCTAGAGACAAATAATATATGAATTAAAAATAATATCTACTCTTGCCCATTGTTTTGTGGGTGGTGGTCGCACTGTGAAACCACCGCGCGTCTAAGACTTTGAAACTTACCTAGGTAGTAGGAAAAAAAAAAAAACTTACCTTTTTCCGTGCGCGTTTCCAATAAATGACGAAATTTACGAATTTTTTAA